TTCTTTCTATTTCAACAACAGATGCCTAAAAACTTTTCCAGATAAAAATCAGGAAAACGGCAAAATACTCCGAGTTTGTTTTGCAACAAATAACTGAATGTATCTAGTGAATTAATAAAGTATTTCATACAATTTTTTTTATGAAGGATGTGACAACAAGTTAAGAAGATATTTAATAGTATACACTATCAGAAATAAAAGAATTTGAAATGGTATAAGTAGTGATATTTTATCACATGAATGATCACTATTCGTGAGAATCGATTTCTATACTAATTAAGTAGCACTTTTTAAAAGAGTAAAAGGTTCTGACTTTTCTGCAACGATAATGTATAATCTATGTATATGAGTTAATCTATTGTTGCAGTAGATTTCATTGATAATGTTTTCTTTTTCTAGGTGAATTCGACTTATCAAAATTGATCGATTTTTCCATATTGGCAAAATCTTTTCCACGACTCATTTCTCTATGGACCAGTGGATACAATCTTATTCCTGATGAAAATCTTGCTACATTGGTTTTATCATTTGTGACGAACTTTCATGAACTCATCGAAGTAATTATCAATAAAGGAACCCGTCGTAGAGGTCTTGACAATCGAGAACTTCAAACGATGCGTACTCAAAAAAAGTACATCGAAATGTTGTTAAGAAATGCTGATAAACTTCGGGACTTGAATCATACGAACGTTTCTTTAATCAACTTTACTGAATTATGCATCTGGTTCTAGCGCACTGAACATTTCTTACTTCTAACTCTGTAACAAATCAATATTTTTCAAAAAGTAAATCACTTTTTGTTAAAAAGAGTTTTTTCTTCTGAAAAAATAAATATCACATTCATTCACAACGATGGACTGTTTGACAAACTATCATACAAATATTTATTAGGGATGGAAGAAATCTTAGTCACTCACTCAGTAATTCACAGATAGTCATCTTTAATCACTCTGTTGTTATTGCACGTTATCTAGAGAAAGAAAATTCGTATATTCATTTATCATGTGACGCAACAGAACAAAAAATAGGAGGAGATATGAGATATGTGATATGATAATGTCTTTTACGAATTACAGTAACTATTCATCTATTTATCATTTGATTTGTACACAAGTCAAGTTGACATACTGGTACAAAGTGATTCACTCCAAGTCACACGGAGTCCCTATGTTTCGTAAATAACATTATCTATTTCTCTTTTTTCCTTTTCTTTCGTTCTGTTGCGTCATGCGATAAATGAATACATGAATTTTCTCTACGTGAGATAGCGTGCAATAACAACTGAAGGATTAAAAACGGCTAGTGTGAATGAGTGAGCGAGTGAGTGATTCCTATGTCTTCCATCGTTGTTATATAATCCTACCGATTCTGAAAGTATCAAAGAACGAAAAGAAACTTTATACAACATGAGTTATATTGTTAGAAAAGAAAGTTATCTTTGACTGGAATATACAATTCATAGATGTTGGAATATATTTTAATCATTAATTTGCTTAAGGCTTTATTCAGCATAAAATTTCCTTGCTCATATTGCTTACTATTAATATTAATTCTCAGCCATTTTTGTTGTTCTCTAATGTAAATAAGTCGATCCCAATCAACTTGATCATCGTCAACAATGATGCTTTTATTTGAGTCTTTTTGAGTAAATTCTTCAAGTTTTTGTCGCATATCATTGATTTTCTTTCCAAGTTCAATCAATATCAGTTTCAACAATATTTTCTTCTTCTCGAAGAGAACGAACTTCCTTAGTAATTGGTTCCAATTGTTTTATTATTGTTATTTTTTGATTTTCGATTAATTGAATAAGTTCATGTTGAGCTTTTTCTGCTGCTTTTTTTACTTTGTTGATTGTTGTTTGCTTCCATTGTTCAATTTGATCAAAAAGATGTAATGACGAATAATTTGATTTTTCTAATTTCTGTATTTGATCAAGAAGCTCATCATGAGATCTTACTATATCATTGTCAAACGTAATCGATAATTGTTGTTCATGTGCTTTGAAATCTTTTCGACAAAAGTAGTTTTTACATCCAATACAAAATGACTTAGCTGAAGGTTTACTGCAAATTGAGCATAAATTTAATTCATTGTCTGTTGCCATTTCTCTTGAAAGAATATCGTTGAAATAATGGAATTTATTCTGTGTATATTTCGATCTAAAATGAACTCATTTGAATATTTATCAAGAAAACAATTTAAGTGATTCACTCAATTTTCTTGGTTTATGATTCGAATCGAATCTCGTTCAATAGTCATGGCTTAATGATGACATAAGTCGTGATCGAATTT